CAGAGGGGGTCTGTGAAGTCCAATGGGAATCAGAGGGGGGGGGGGGGTCTGTGAGTTCCATTGGGGATCAGAGGGGGGTCTGTGAGGTCCAACCGGGATTTGAGGGGTCTTATGAGGACCAATGTGGATCTGTGAGGTCCAATGAGCATCAGAGGGGGTCTGTGAGGTCCAATGGGGATCTGAGGGGGTCTGTGAGGTCCAATGGGAATCAGAGGGGGGGTCTGTGAGTTCCATTGGGGATCAGAGGGGGGGGGGTCTGTGAGGTCCAATAAGGATCTGTGAGATCCAACAGGGATTTGGGGGGGTCTGTGAGTTCCATTGGGGATCAGAGGGGGGACCTGTGAGGTCCAAAGAGGATCTGTGAGATCCAACAGGGATTTGGGGGGGGTCTGTGAACTAACGCTATTTGCAGTATGTGATGTATACAGTTCCCTGCTGGGTTCTAATTGACAGCTGGCAATGGAAAAGAGGAAGCGGCCAAAGTTAGTATATGTCTGTGTACACCCCGTGTCCTGATTACAGGCAGCCAAGACTGGCCAAGGCAGGCATGGTGCTGAGGGACACAGCCGATGCACGACGCCCTACAATACATCAGATGCTGCAATTGCTCGCAGACAGAAGGCGACGCAAAAGCCGCCGCCAGCGGACACTTACGTGGCTGAGGTATGAAGAAGCTCTCCGTTTCCTCCTCGATGGGCTCCGTGTCGTTGTGCGCCGTCTTTTTGTGCATGGCCAGTGTGGAGATCTGTTTGTAGGTTTTGCCGCAGTGGTTGCAGTTGTACGGTTTGGAGTGCGTGTGGACCACGTGGTGCTTGTAAAGGCTCGAATATTCCGTGAAACGCTTGTCGCAGCCGGGCACAGTACAGACGTAAGGCTTCTCACCTGAAAAAAAAAACACGTGTGACTATAGGTGGAGGGGAGATCTGCAATCTGCTGGCGTCTAGGTCATGGCTCCAGGCTATATCCCCTACCTCGATTTCCACCTACAACCACGTGCAAAGGAAGCCAACATTCTTTGGGGGGGGCGGGTGAAGACATTTTCCTTTTTGCTGGTGTTTGTAAAAGCTTCCATTATGAATTTTGCTCCAGTTTATATCCATTCATCTATTGCTAGCCTGGGAAGTGGCCATAGACCCCCAGTGGTCACAAGAGGTATTGCATCTTACTGTAGACAGCACCTTGAAGGGTCTGCATAGTAACCAATAAGCTAATGTTTGCTGTGCAAGGTAGAAAATATAACCACCTGACCGATAACTACCAATGAAAACCTGCCAAGAGAAAACCACAGGGGCACTGCTGACCTTTCTATCTGCACAGCCTAGCTGCCCGGCTGACCCTCTTCCTTCAATACTTTGAGTTGCTGACCCAGAACAAGAATAAGAACCTCGGGCTTTCCTTCAACTTTCCGGATCTGCGTACTTGTTCTCCGGAGAAGACATAACGCGGCCAACGGGCATTTTTATAAAAAAATTAGCAAATGCAAACTCCATATTTCTCTTACGACAGCTTTATATACAAATATTCTCCAGAACTTTCTGTCAATAAGGACGCGCGCTTAAAGTAAAACTTCCATCTAAACTTTTTTTTTTGATGGAATGGGTAAAAGGTGAGAACTTGTTGATAACTGCTGATACGGCTAAATGACTAAGTTACATGTGTGGTGGAGCTGGATCAAATTTTAGGATTGACATCCTTGCTGGACGGCAGTTCTTGAAGCAAAGTCTGTGAGGTCCAATTGGGATCGGAGGGCGTCTGTAAGGTTTTATGGGGATTGGATGGGGTCCAATGCAGATCAGAGGGGGTCTGTGAGGTCCAATGGGGATCTGTGAGGTCCAATGCAGATAGGAGGGAGTCCGTGAAGTTCAATGAGGATCAGAGGGGAGTGTGTGGTCCAATAGGGGATCCAAGGGGGTATGTGGGGTCCAATGGTGATCTAAGAGGTCTGTGAGGTCCAATGGAGGTCAGAGGGTAGTGTGTGGCCCAATGGGGGGATCTGAGGGGGTCCGTTGAGGTCCAGCAGGGATTTGAGGGGTCTGTGATGTGCAATGGGGATCTAAGGGGTCTATGAGGTCCAGTAGGGATCTAAGGGGTCTATGAGGTCCAGTAGGGATTCTGAGGGGTCTATGGAGGTCCAATGGGGATCTGAGGGGTCTATGGAGGTCCAGTGGGGATCTGAGGGGTCTATGAGGTTCAGTGGGGATCGGAGGGATCTATGAGGTTCAGTGGGTATCTGAGGGGTCTATGAGGTTCAGTGGGGATCGGAGGGATCTATGAGGTTCAGTGGGTATCTGAGGGGTCTATGAGGTTCAGTGGGGATCGGAGGGATCTATGAGGTTCAGTGGGTATCTGAGGGGTCTATGAGGTTCAGTGGGGATCGGAGGGATCTATGAGGTTCAGTGGGTATCTGAGGGGTCTATGAGGTTCAGTGGGGATCGGAGGGATCTATGAGGTTCAGTGGGTATCTGAGGGGTCTATGAGGTTCAGTGGGGATCGGAGGGATCTATGAGGTTCAGTGGGTATCTGAGGGGTCTATGAGGTTCAGTGGGGATCGGAGGGATCTATGAGGTTCAGTGGGTATCTGAGGGGTCTATGAGGTTCAGTGGGGATCGGAGGGATCTATGAGGTTCAGTGGGTATCTGAGGGGTCTATGAGGTTCAGTGGGGATCGGAGGGATCTATGAGGTTCAGTGGGTATCTGAGGGGTCTATGAGGTTCAGTGGGGATCGGAGGGATCTATGAGGTTCAGTGGGTATCTGAGGGGTCTATGAGGTTCAGTGGGGATCGGAGGGATCTATGAGGTTCAGTGGGTATCTGAGGGGTCTATGAGGTTCAGTGGGGATCGGAGGGATCTATGAGGTTCAGTGGGTATCTGAGGGGTCTATGAGGTTCAGTGGGGATCGGAGGGATCTATGAGGTTCAGTGGGTATCTGAGGGGTCTATGAGGTTCAGTGGGGATCGGAGGGATCTATGAGGTTCAGTGGGTATCTGAGGGGTCTATGAGGTTCAGTGGGGATCGGAGGGATCTATGAGGTTCAGTGGGTATCTGAGGGGTCTATGAGGTTCAGTGGGGATCGGAGGGATCTATGAGGTTCAGTGGGTATCTGAGGGGTCTATGAGGTTCAGTGGGGATCGGAGGGATCTATGAGGTTCAGTGGGTATCTGAGGGGTCTATGAGGTTCAGTGGGGATCGGAGGGATCTATGAGGTTCAGTGGGTATCTGAGGGGTCTATGAGGTTCAGTGGGGATCGGAGGGATCTATGAGGTTCAGTGGGTATCTGAGGGGTCTATGAGGTTCAGTGGGGATCGGAGGGATCTATGAGGTTCAGTGGGTATCTGAGGGGTCTATGAGGTTCAGTGGGGATCGGAGGGATCTATGAGGTTCAGTGGGTATCTGAGGGGTCTATGAGGTTCAGTGGGGATCGGAGGGATCTATGAGGTTCAGTGGGTATCTGAGGGGTCTATGAGGTTCAGTGGGGATCGGAGGGATCTATGAGGTTCAGTGGGTATCTGAGGGGTCTATGAGGTTCAGTGGGGATCGGAGGGATCTATGAGGTTCAGTGGGTATCTGAGGGGTCTATGAGGTTCAGTGGGGATCGGAGGGATCTATGAGGTTCAGTGGGTATCTGAGGGGTCTATGAGGTTCAGTGGGGATCGGAGGGATCTATGAGGTTCAGTGGGTATCTGAGGGGTCTATGAGGTTCAGTGGGGATCGGAGGGATCTATGAGGTTCAGTGGGTATCTGAGGGGTCTATGAGGTTCAGTGGGGATCGGAGGGATCTATGAGGTTCAGTGGGTATCTGAGGGGTCTATGAGGTTCAGTGGGGATCGGAGGGATCTATGAGGTTCAGTGGGTATCTGAGGGGTCTATGAGGTTCAGTGGGGATCGGAGGGATCTATGAGGTTCAGTGGGTATCTGAGGGGTCTATGAGGTTCAGTGGGGATCGGAGGGATCTATGAGGTTCAGTGGGTATCTGAGGGGTCTATGAGGTTCAGTGGGGATCGGAGGGATCTATGAGGTTCAGTGGGTATCTGAGGGGTCTATGAGGTTCAGTGGGGATCGGAGGGATCTATGAGGTTCAGTGGGTATCTGAGGGGTCTATGAGGTTCAGTGGGGATCGGAGGGATCTATGAGGTTCAGTGGGTATCTGAGGGGTCTATGAGGTTCAGTGGGGATCGGAGGGATCTATGAGGTTCAGTGGGTATCTGAGGGGTCTATGAGGTTCAGTGGGGATCGGAGGGATCTATGAGGTTCAGTGGGTATCTGAGGGGTCTATGAGGTTCAGTGGGGATCGGAGGGATCTATGAGGTTCAGTGGGTATCTGAGGGGTCTATGAGGTTCAGTGGGGATCGGAGGGATCTATGAGGTTCAGTGGGTATCTGAGGGGTCTATGAGGTTCAGTGGGGATCGGAGGGATCTATGAGGTTCAGTGGGTATCTGAGGGGTCTATGAGGTTCAGTGGGGATCGGAGGGATCTATGAGGTTCAGTGGGTATCTGAGGGGTCTATGAGGTTCAGTGGGGATCGGAGGGATCTATGAGGTTCAGTGGGTATCTGAGGGGTCTATGAGGTTCAGTGGGGATCGGAGGGATCTATGAGGTTCAGTGGGTATCTGAGGGGTCTATGAGGTTCAGTGGGGATCGGAGGGATCTATGAGGTTCAGTGGGTATCTGAGGGGTCTATGAGGTTCAGTGGGGATCGGAGGGATCTATGAGGTTCAGTGGGTATCTGAGGGGTCTATGAGGTTCAGTGGGGATCGGAGGGATCTATGAGGTTCAGTGGGTATCTGAGGGGTCTATGAGGTTCAGTGGGGATCTGAGGGGTCTGTGAGGTTCAGTGGGGATCTGAGGGGTCTGTGAGGTTCATTGGGGATCTGTGAGGTTCAGTGGGGATCTGAGGGGCCTGTGAGATTCATTGGGGATCTGAGGGGTCTGTGAGGTTCAGTGGGGATCTGAGGGGTCTGTGAGGTTCATTAGGGATCCGAGGGGGTCTGTGAGGTTCATTGGAGATCTGAGAGGTCTGTGAGGTCCAGTTGGGATCTGAGAGATCTATAAAGTCCAGTGGAGACCAAGAGTCTGTGAGGCCTATGGATAAATGAAGGAATAGGACGCTGATACCTGTGTGTATCCGCACGTGGTTCTTGTAGTTGGTGGCACTGGCAAACGCTCTGCCGCAGCCCGGTTCTGAGCAGTAATAAGGCCGTTCCCCCGTGTGCGTTCGGATGTGAACTTTCCGGATGTTGGAGGTAGTGAATGATCTTCCGCAGCCTTCAAAGGGACATTTGAACGGCCTCTCTCCTGCAGGGGAAATCATTCTGTCATCATACAAGAAACCTTCTGAACTAACCGCATGGCAAAACGTTTCCTCTTTTACTTCAGAAAGACAACAACAACCTTCTCTGCGTATAAAACACTTACTGTGTATGGGGTCCCCATGCCTTTAACAGTCAGGCACATGTGGAAGAAGGAAACAATAATTAGGAGCTGGCTGAGGCCTCTCCTCCTCATCACTATTTATAGCCAAAAAGATCTGAACCAGAAAAAACAGCTCACTTCCCACGATGCCGTTATGTTCTTCTCTGGTTCCTCCCGGATTGTGGAGCTGCCACAAGGAAGTGGAGGAGGGAGGTGACACAGACACAAAATCTTCCAGGGGGGTCAAGACTCGGACCCCCAATCCTGTTATATACACACTGAGTGGCCGGATTTTTTATATACACTGAGTGGCCGGATTCTTATATACACCGAGTGGCCGGATTCTTATATACACCGAGTGGCCGGATTATTATATACACCGAGTGGCCGGATTATTATATACACCGAGTGGCCGGATTATTATATACACACTCCTCCCGGGGCTGCTGTCTGTTAGGAGGAGATGACGCAATTATTATGTAAGCCGAGTTACTGAGGAAACGAAGTCTACCAGAGTAACAGAAGATATGAACGAGCCGGGGCGGCACAAACGGCAGAAATTATATAACTGGGAAGGAGGACGCAGCCTCTCCCGCATTCCGGAAAATATCAGCCTGAACCCTGAAAAAACCCATCGGGCTCCGGGCCAGAGGATGCTCATATAACACATCACCTCATTCAGGATCAGTAATCAATGGAAGATAGAAAAGAAAGGAGGAGCAACCCAACACAAAAAAATACACAAAAAGTATCATAGAATAAAAGAAGATACAATAGAAAAAAGAAAGAAACTTCCGATTCAGAGAAGGAGATCCGCTGATACATTCTGCAACATTATCATATTAAAGCTTAAAAAGGAGAACTATGAGGGGGAGGGGCTTTCCACTCACCTCATAGTTCTAGCCGACCTGTGACAATGAGACTGTCACAGGTCGGCTCAGTAGATCGGGAGGTGAGGTAACACATACCGGCGTTCGCTCACCTCTCGATCCTGTCACGGCTCTCTGCCGTGACAGGGGAGGGGCTGGATTTCCCCCTCCCCGCTCCGATCCTCCAGCGCTGACTGGCGGAATGGACGGGGGAGGGGGGCGGGTACAGCTGGCTCTGCCTCTAGATAGGCAGAGCCAGCTGTCACTCACGCAGCTGGGCGGATCCCGACAGAATTGTTAGGATCCGCTTCAGGTGCGGCGTCTCAGTATACCGCGAGCTGTAGCTCCCTATATACTGAGCTTAGGGTGACGGGAGGACGCTAGTTGGTGTCCTCCCGTTACCCTAAGGAGAACTATGGGGAAAAGCCCTGACCACATACTTCTCCTTTAACTGAATTATCAGCCTTTTTCCTGTCCCGGCCATTGTTCAGTGTTCAGCGCTGCGGTACTTTGACTGACATTTATTCTGTCATGCAGCGCTGAACACTGAAACAAATTTTATACCATTTTTTGGGGACAGATAGAGCTTTCTTTTGGTGGTATTTAATCAGCACTGCGGTTTTTATTTTTTACTATATAATAACAAAAGCAACCTAAATTTTGGAGAAAAAAAATGAAATGTTATGAAACATTTATTATCACCCCGATTTATTGGTAAAATATAAAAAAAGGGGTCACATCGGGTAAATAGACACCAAACATGCCAAGCCGCAAGACTGCACGCGCCCGCGAAATTGCAGAAAATTACCACACCCAAAATTGGCCATAGGCGACGCTCTAAACGTTGTTACCGCTCATCGGTTTAGAGTTATCAGTGATTGATGGCCCGAGAATTATTGCTCGCACTCCGATGTTCGCGGTGATATGTAACATGTGCGGCGCAAATCGTCGTTTTCGCACGTAGGCGCACCCGACGAATGCTTGCGTGTGTATGTACCCCTGATGTCAACTAGGGACCCCCAGAGAAACTGATGAACTGCGCACACCCGCAGCTACTACAAGCGAACTCCCTTTTCGAGAGACGCCCGATCGCTTGAATGGCTGTTAACATTTCTAACAGTTTCCCCTGTTGTCCGGTCCGATCAAAATAGTGCTTGCAGCATTTTGATCGGACCGCACCGCAGGCATAATTTGGCTTGCGATCCCGTGCAGCCGATTGCATTGTGGTCGGAGGGCGTGGCTACGGTGCCATTCACTTCAGTGGCCCACCATGCCCCACCAAAAAGTGAGCCGACCGCAATGCGAGTTAGTGCGTTCTGGCCAGAATCGGACCGGAACGCACTGCATCTGGTGTGAACGGGCCCTTAGCACTTGTTCACACCTGAACGTTTTGTAGCGCGTTCTACGCTCGACGAACGCTCTACAAAACGCTCAAAAATATAAATCCCATTGTATTCAATGGTCTCGTTCCCACCTTGGCGTATTTCCGCCCGTCCCTAACGCGCTACAAAACGGCCCACGCCTGAAAAGGTACAGGTACTACTTTCGGCCGTTTTGTTGCGCGTTTCCATTGGGATACAGCCAAGTAGCCTTCGGAAACGCGCGTTTGTCGCGCAACTTTTTTACAGTGAATCGCTGCAAAAAAACGCGCGACAGACGCGCATATGCAATACGCCTAGGTTTGAACGAGACCTTACTCCAAAGACAGTTTCCCTCGGATGGTTTCCTGACATCTATGCACTTCTTGCAAAACAAACACAGCTTTAGCCTCCTGGCTTCTACTTTCGTAGCATCCTGCTGCTCTGGCCTCAGTCCATGTCCCCCAGCCAGTCTCAATACCGTGCTAACCCGCACTCACTCTAACTGTCCTCAGCCTCAGTGACTCCCTCTGGCCAACACTGGCCCTCTTCCAGCCTCCCCGGCTGTCTCTCGTGTGCCTCCAGTGCACACACACCAAACTCCACTCTGACTCCAGGCTGGAGGCCTCCTAACTCCTGCACGGAAACCTTTCCCATCTCCCATGTGTAGTCCTGAACCCTACCCATCACCCTTACCATAAGGGCTGTGCAATCAACAGGTCCTGGTCACTACAAAACCATGGACCCAGGAATGCAGATTTCATCCCTCCCAAGTCTGTTAAAAATCTCCGGGTTCCTGTGCAGAATCTGGAACTGCAAAGCCAGCTCTTCTCCTGTAAAGATACTTCATTTTTGATACCTCTCAGCCCCACCAGAGTTCTGGGTACCCTTTTGCTCTCATCACACAGTAACAAGTCCGCAGACCTGTTACAGTGCCTAGTGTCCATTTCTCCTGTAGGCGGCAGTATAACCCTAGGTTGCCTAATTGCCATTAAAGGAGAACTATGGGGTTGAGTCTTTTCCCCATAGTTCTCCTTAGGGTAACGGGAGGACACAAACTAGCGTCCTCCCATCACCCTAGGCTCCGTATACAGCGAGCTGTATACTGAGACGCCGCAGTATATGCTCGCGGTATACTGAAACGCCGCAGCTGAAGCGGACCCCGACAATTGTGCCGGGATCCGCCCAGCTGCGTGACTGACAGCTGGCTCTGCCTATCTAGAGGCAGAGCCAGCTGTATCCGCCCCCTCCCCCGTCCGTTCCGCCAGTCAGCGCTGGAGGATCGGAGCGGGGAGAGGGGAATCCAGCCCCCCCCCCTGGCACGGCAGAGAGCCGTGACAGGATCGAGAGGTGAGCGAACGCCGGTATGTGTTCGCTCACCTCCCGATCTACTGAGCCGACCTGTGACAGTCTCATTGTCACACGTCAGCTAGAACTATGAGGTGAGTGAAAAGCACTCACCTCATAGTTCTCCTTTAAGCTTTGTCCTTCAATTGGTGGTAGAGAAATGGAAGTTGCCTCTCTTCAGAGGGAGAGACTGGTAATGACAGCCTCCATATTGTATTGGCGCATATTTCCTTTACCCCAGGCATATTACTGAAGCCAGTTACAGGCACTCAAATCAGAAATGGGAAAAAGCAAGCACAATTACATAATAATAAATGATTTCATATTAAATAAGTGATACACGCTCTTTGTTCTTCAGTGTTACATGTTTAAGGTTCCATCATTTAAATATTAAACCTCTAAATTAAAAGGGTGCATAAATACAGTATATGATCTCTCTGGGCTTTATAATGGGACACTCAGGACCATCAGATGCCGTCAGCCAACGTCTGCTACTCAAAGCATGCTCCTAAATCATTGGGGACGTCCGATAGCTGCCTAAGAGTGCATGGAGAGGAGTGCTGCATGGAGAGGAGTGTCAGAGCACAGACACTCCTCTCCATGCAACCCACAATACAATGCCTGTGCAACTAGGGCTGCAACCAACTAAATCGATAATAATCAATAATGAGAATATTAGTCAACTATTCTCATTATCGATTAGTCGGTTGGATCCCCTAGCTCTCTCCTTCATGCTGGGGGGAGGGCAGAGCAAGCAGTGGGCGGGTGCAATAGCCAGCCTGCTATTGCAATCTGAAATGTCCAATAGCAGGCTGACTATTGCACCCGCCCACTACCTGCTGTATTTACATTCAGCTGCCGTCTGCGGAATCTCGCCCCTGGCAGCCGTCATTCCCGGGCTGAAGCTATTCCAGCGTCATGTGCTCACTGTACAATTATAAAAGGTGGGGAAAAAAAGTAATTTTCGTTTTTCGGCCTGACACATTCTGCTGCGGGAGGTGCGTTGCGGTGCCATTAATTTCAATGTCACCCCAAACGCGCCTCCCACCCACAGTGTGATCGCCGGCACTGGAAGACGTGGTACCGCAATGCTGAGCGTTCCAGTGCAGTGCGATTGCAAAAAAAGAAATTGTGCATGCTGCTTTATTCTGAAGTAAATCTCGTAACATTTGTGTATTTTTTTTTAAATTAAGGATGAGATTTTATTTCATTTTTTTTATCCGATTAACCGAAAAATAAATCGGCCAACTAATCGATTATGAAAATAACCATTGGTTGCAGCCCTATGTGCAACCTACTGCGATTCTATGCATGGTCACATAGTATCCAGGGTAAGGGGTTGGGCCAATGCTGCTGACTTTATAAAGTCATACTTTGATTATGCAATTCAACCATATTAGTGGCCCTTTTTTACTTAAAGGAGAACTATGAGGGGGGGGGGGGGGGGCTTTTCTTCT